CCCATGCTATACCATGCTTCAAGACAAAATGTCATTTATTTGTCATTAGAAATAACTATTTCACAATATATCATTACATATTGTTTTTGTGATGAATCACTATGCTTTAATTATGTTCAATTTGTAACAAGGAAAATACATCCTGCCTATCAGGTATTTACATGACGATTCATAACAGTAGCAAAATGACAGTGAAGTAGCAAGGGGATCACCACCACATGAGGAACTGTATGAAAGGGGCGCGGTGTCAGGAAGGTTGAGAACCACTGAGTTAGAGTCACAGCACCAGTTCTTATCTTCTCGAGGAAGGCCCTCGGAGGTAGGACTCTGGGACAATTTCTCCTGTGCTCCTGGCTGACGAGGGCTTCAGAGTCCGCAGAGGGCAACTCTCGCCTTCCTCACCTGGACCTGGTTTCTCAAGAGAAACCACAGTCCCCCAGAGGTGACAGGTACGGAGCCACCACTGGCCGGGGCCACACCCGCAGACACTCACTCTGCACTTCCTCCTCCCGGCAGGAGCGTAGGGCCTATGGGAGCTGACGGAGGGCCCTTGACTGCGAGAAGATAGACGAGTGTTCTCTGAGAAGTCTCTCCGTGTCCACACAGATATTTATTTCCTCCACAAGTGTGACAGCTCAGGGACACGTGGGTGCAGGCACAAATAGTCCTTGAAGATACAGTGACGGAGCTGCCTCGCATGTAACCAACACCTTCCAAGCTCAGCATTCGAGGTCTGGAGGTTCAGGACTGGTGTGTCAAGGAACAACTCACCCATTTGGCATAAAATAGTTCCTAAAGGTCTGACGTCCATCTCCTATGGAAGTGAGTAGCATCTGGGGGGGGGGGGCTAAAAACTTACGGGTGACCATCTCTAAGATATAATGATTGGTCTGTACTTGTCAGGACCAAACGAATAAGACCCGCTCACCCATTGCCATTGAGTGGATGTCCCCTTATAGCGATCTTTATTGGGTTTCAGAGGCTATCCATTCTTCCAGAAGCATATCGTCTCATCTTTGTCCCTAGAAGCTGCTGGTGGGCTTGAACCACCAACCCTATGATTAGCAGCCCAACACCTGATCCACAGGGCCCACCCTCTGTGCCATCCAGTCCATGCTGACTCATAGCAACCTCCTGTGGGTTGCCGAGACTGTAACTGTTCACAAGAGTAGAAAGCCCCATCTTCCTCCCTCAGAGCTGCTGGTGGTTTTGAACTGCTGACCATGTCGATTACAGCCCAACTCATAACCACTACACCACCAGGGCTCCAACAGGGCTCCTTAAAAGAATAAGAAGGTAACCAACCAGCTATCCCACAGACCAGGCTGTGTGGGGTCTCAGAAAGAATGGGAGAAAAACGGAGAATGAAACCCAAATCCTCTGTGAAAGGCCAGACTGCCTGGCCCAGTTGAGACCACAGGACTCCCTGAGACTGTTGTCCTGAGACCCTCTTTCAATCTCGACCCAAAACTACCCTGAGAATACCTTGTAGTGAAGCAGCAGGTTAAAGGACACTAACCACAAGACGGGTGCCCCATTCACAAACGTCTGTGTGAGATGAAGATTGGGCAGACCTGTTGCACAAGACCTCTACATGGCGGAAGAGCAAGCGATGTCACTTAGAGGGCAGACATGCACCTGACCTACACCATGGTGTTTTCAGACACCCCATAGCCGGAAGACCCTCAAGTGTATGGATTGAGCAATGGGCTCAAACATCAGGACAATCGTGAGGCTGGTACCGGACCAGGCAGAGTTTGGTGCCGCTGCACACCAAGCTGCAAGGAGTCGGAACACTCATCAGCACCGACTGGCATCAATGAGATGAGGAGCCCAGCAGGGAGGAAGCGAGGGGATCGGCAACGAAACAACCAGAGAGAATGTTGGTGCGTGGTGAACAATGTCACTGGAAATTGTCCCTTAGAACAATTCACTTGCGGGGCCAACTTTCTCCACGATTACTAAAACAGAAAAACAACACAAACACCCAAGGGTTCTTCTCCCTCTGAAGTCTTGGGAGCCCTTCTCCCAGCCACCAGGTCGATGCCGACTCACAGCGACCCTGCAGGACAGGGCAGGCCTGCCCCTGTGGGTTTCTGAGATTGTCACTCTTTACGGGAGTAGGAAGCCCTTAAGTCTGCCTCCCATGCAGCGGCCAGTGGTTTCACACTACTGATCTTGCAGTTAGCAGCCCAGCGCAATTTTTATAAAACAAGTGCCAGACAGAGATATTTATTCCCCCCACAAGTGTGACAACTCACACAGGACACACATGGGCAATGGAACCATGGGAGAGGAAAACACCCTGGGCCCTGAGGGGCAGGTGGGGCCTCCTCTCCGCTGCTGGCTGCATGACTTGAGAGGGGAGGAGGCAGGTGCTTTGTCTCTGCTGCCCGATCTGGGGACTGAGGCTGAGGGTACCCCAGGGCAAGCCCCATGCGCCTCTACTTCTCAGCCAACAAGAAGCCACTTGTATAGTATACACTTGTACTACACTTGTATAGCCACATGTATAGTGCCAACCATTATAGTCCTGGGAAAAGTGATTGGCCCACACCCAACTGTGACAGGGGAAGGTACACACCATAAATGAAGGCTTAGTTGGGATTAGGCCATGAGAGGGGGCAGGGGGCACCATCAGAAACATGTGGTGGGGTGGCCATTGGTGGGCTTTGGGGCTGCCTGGTCTCTGGCTCAAGGGGTTGGGGAGAGGGGAGGGGCTGATTGTTGGGCACTGGTGTTCACAAATCTGGGCTGGAGGGATATGCCACCAACCACATCCGGCTGGCTTGCCGGCGTGGCCTCTCTTAGAACCTCCCTAAAGAGACGAGTGCTTCGAGCACCACATCAGAGCCCTTGGACTTGAGCCATCCCTGCAGCGACCTCCTGGGCCTGTTGGGGTACTGCAGTGTTGCTGGCATGGGTGGCCCACACAGGTTCGCACCCCGAGATGGTGACAACACGTGCAATGACCCTGGCTTGCCTGACAACAACATAACCACTACGCCACCAGGGATGCCTCGCCCCCAGCCCCCCAGCATCGTTTCCCTGGGTCTGCTGAGGATCCTTGCTGCCCTGGTGGACCCCAGGCAGCCTCCCTGTCCTCGTGAAGAAACACTGTCCAGCTTCGCAGCTCTGTCCCTGGCACCTGCCCCGGTGCCCAAGAATGATTGCTGCGTGCTAGCTAGATGAGGAGTCCTGGTGGGGTAGTGGTATTGCATTGGGCTGTGATCTGAAAGGTGAGCGGTTCTAAGCCACCAGCCTCTCCAACGGAGACAGATGGGGCTTTCTACTCCCCTAAAATCAGTCTTGGAAACCCACAGGGACAGTTCTAGCCTGTCCTACTCGAGGGCAGTGAAAGGGAGAGGACAATCCCACGAGGGGATTGTTGCTTGGACTAGTAGTGACCCTGTAGGATAGAGAAGACATCCTAGTGGCACAGTGGGTTAGGCACTGGAGTTCCGAACCACCAGCCACGCCGCAGAGAAAGACAGGACCTTCTGCCCCCATGAAGATTTCCATCGTCAGGCAGTTCCCCCCCACTCCTCCTCCCCACAGTCCCAACAGGCTGCAGGGCAGTGCGGGCAGAGCAGGGTCTCTCTGGCCGTCATCTTCACCGGGCGGACAGATGCCTCCTGGACATCCCTCTACTTGCAGAAGCAGAATACAAATATTGGCTCGCTAGCATGTGCAGTGAAGCTGGGTGTGAGCCGAGTGTGGGTGTCTGCAGGGCAAAGATCAGCACAGGCACCCAGCTAATCAACAAGTGGTTTGAAGAGGTGGGTTCCAATCTGCCCCGTGGCAGGGACCGCGGGGAGGGGACCTGTGTTTGGAGCTGATTCCTTGGCCCCCGCCTCCCCTACCCCCCAGGTCCTCCCTGGAGCGGGTGCCACAATTAGAACCGGGAGGGCAGAGGGTTGGCATAGCACACATTTCGTTCCCAGGGGACAGACGCCCGGATGCGATGGCCCGCGTGGCTTTGCGCATTCCTTGCGCACGGGGAGCTCAGCGTCACCCACAAAGCCGCTCTGGCCCCCGCCCTCGCCGTTGGCTCCTCAGGGAGGCCGCCCCTCCCGCGGGCCCAGTCTCAGGGGCGGGGCCGAGTAGGGGTCGGAGCTGGCAGCGCTGGCCGGCGCGCGTCCTCGATGCCCTTCACCCCGCCCGTCCTGCGCTCAGGCACCTCCGCCACCTGTGGACGCGTCCCCCCGCAGACCCCGATAGTGTCCCCTCACTTGGCCTCCTTGGACCCGGGGACAAGGTGCCCACTGCCCCACGTTCTCCTGAGGCTCACAGCTAGCTTCCTGGGCCGGGATCAGTCAGGGGAGCCTCGTTGACATGGCACCGGCCGGCCAGGCACCTCCCTGCGCCCTAGACCCCGGGTACGTGGGTCGGAGAAGCAGCCCGCACGGTGACCTTGGTCAGCCCTCGTGCGCCCGGCCTCAGTTTCCCCGGTCCTGCGGCCCCGGGCACTAGGTGGGACCCGGCGACGCGCCCCGCCCCCGCACACGGCCAATCAGGAGCCG